AGAAATGTTTTGGTACCCTTCCCCAGATATGTGCCTCGATACAATCCTGTCTCGGAGCACTACGGACAATTCCTTTGCCCTCATGGCCTGGTTTTTGCTCTGACATGCATTGTCAATTGTGGGACCTTATATAGACAGGTGTGTACCTTTTGGAATGCACTGTATACATGGAAACTGTTCAATGCCTGTTTAAAATTCCAAATCAAATAGCTAAATGATCCTTGGTATGACCTTCTTAAAACAATTCCATATAGCTTAGTAGAACCCCCCCCCATCCCCTGGTTTAGACAGGGCTTAGACTGTTTAGTGCCAAAAATAAGGGGTTCAATTCATGTCCCAAGAAATATGAAATGTTTCCTGATCTTTCTTATATCTCTCAGACATAAGAGAGACACTTCAGAACAAAATTCCTTTTTGATATTTTTTGGGGACTATCTGTTTTTTCATGTAGTGAATCTGTTATTCAATGCGTTCGTATGGGCAAACAGCAATAAGGCCAAACATTTATTTTCATGAAATCATTTTTAAAATATATTTTCTTTGTTATTTCAAGGGGTCTAAAAATTTAAAATCAAATAGCTAAATGATCCTTTGTATGACCTTCTTAAAACAATTCCATATAGCTTAGTAGAACTGTTTTGATTCCCTGCATGGTCTCTATTTATCTAGAGCTGCAGGACTAAACTGGGAGAAAGAGTCTGGTCATTCCAACAGCCAAGTTATTCTGCCATGTCACCAGCCATGTACAACGTCACACCACCGAGGCACTGCTGAGAGTCAATCAAATGACCTGGAGGCAGACCAATACTGACTTCTAATGAACCCTTCACACACAGAGTAATTAACACATTATTACAGCCCATGCCAAAGCAGCCTTTCCTAAAGCAATTACATTTAGTCTTTGGCTCTTTAATCAGTCTAATGACTGATTAACAAAAATATTGTTAGTAGAGAAAAGCTATTATGTGGTTTACTGACACAAGTACCAAAAATATGGGTGTACGTTTTATCCAATGTCAATACTAATGTTTGCCATGGTCACTCTGCTGTAATTGCCTTTGATCAAGGATAATAGTCAGCGTTTGTGCTTGTGCTTCCAGGGGCGCAGGGTTTCTCCAAAAATCACGCCAGTGTCAGGGGTCCAAGAATAACAAATATATTTTCATTTAGACTTCAAGCACATTTCTCCTCCCTGTGGGATAGTGGACCAGGAAGGACAGAGGGAGTCGGAGCTAGCTAGGGCCTCTGCTCCACTGGTCACAACAGTCATTGTTACTTATGAGAAAAACATATTGGTTGGATGGGCCAAATATGACATGTTTTCAGAAAGGCTTGACACAGATCATACTGTATATTATCTAAACCTGCAACACCTGGGATAGTCAAAGCTCTCTCTCTCTCTCTCTCTCTCTCTCTCTCTCTCTCTCTCTCTCTCTCTCTCTCTCTCTCTCTCTCTCTCTCTCTCTCTCTCTCTCTCTCTCTCTCTCTCTCTCTCTCTCTCTCTCTCTCTCTCTCTCTCTCTCTCTCTATCCATCCCCTCTTTCCCTCTTCTCCTCTCTCTAAATTGATAAACACATGCTTCATCTTAGTCAAGGCCAAGGCAAATGTTTGACACACCTGCTGAACCGAAATTGGAGCCCTCAGGAGATCCCGAAGGGGTCCAAGCCTCAGCTCGAGCTGGCCCAGGCTTTAATATATGCCGTTAAATGCAGTAAAACATTCTCTATACATAGCTATCTAGCCGTTGGATTCTGCTGACATCAAGCAAGGCAAGAGGCTCTTCGGAGACCCAGAGACCCAATGCTCCTCACGGATGTTCCAGACTCACCTCTGTTCCTGGAACTCCCTGGGTTCGGTCCAACGTCACTGTGTCCGACCTCCGAAAATACACCAGAACCGTGTCTCTCTGAGTTATTATTAACATCTACTGTCTTGTCCACCAGAGCTCTCAAGGATAAAATATTCACAGCTGGTCCTGTGGTTTGGTCCTGAAGCCGCAAATTCCTCTGAGCAAACAGAGAAGCTGTGAATGTGTGAAGCCATCGGTGTGGATTTCATTTGAGGTCCACACAGGTTTGTTAGAAATGATGTAGTCAAAACAGCAACGTTATACCACATGCCCTTAAATCAACGAAACACTGATCTGTACCTTTTCCTGAAGACATCAGAAAACACATTTTTGGACGTGTATAGAAGTTCAAATTATGTGAAAGATGAACTATATAAAGTATAGTTTCAACCTAGTATTCAGACATCTAGTTCTACACTAGAAGTTCAACAAACACTTTGTCAGAAGAATTAAATGTTGTAAAGGAAAATAAAATTCTGCTGGTGTCTTGAATACATTTCAGTCTAATTGTACGGTAATCATATAAACAAAGCTTGAGTGTCCTGTTAAGATGAAAGCAAATTTGAAACGTGCTCAAATGCATCATACTTACTCTATTACACATTTTTGATTATTGAGGCCAACAAAAGATAACGTCTGTTTATATAAAAACAACAGGATCAACAGAGAGATTTTGATTCCACTCAGAAATAACCTCAGAGAGTAACAGTATTGACAGTGATTGAACACACCCTTGGGTGGGGATGGTGGTGGTAGTGTATGTGTTTGTGTGTGTGTGTGCGTGTGTGTGTGTGCGTGTGTGTGTGTGTCTGTGTGTGTGTCCTGATGCCTGCCCTAGCTCTCTGTCTGATCCTGCTGGAACTGATGTGGAGGTTACGAGGAGAAAAAAAGAAAACATTACATCATGCTTAATTAGAATCAGCTCATGAACAACTTTCTAATATTTATGTTATACCGTATGCCCTCGCTTTGTATCTGACACTCACTGGAGAGGCAGAGGGAAACAACAATGATTTAGACATCATAGGTCAAGGTGGAACATGCTCAGCTGCTATGCCACCTTGAGAAAGCTTTTTTTCTTAAAGAATAAATGTCTGCCCAAGTAGAGAGAGGCCATGTTCACAGTCATACCTCAAAAAACAGGTTTTCCTTTGTTGGTAAGAGATAAAAGAACACATGTATCCTTTACAACTCAATTAAGAATTCCATAGCACCACTTTATGCCATCTGCTTAACAGTGCTGAAATGTGTGAAAACAACTAACATACTCACAATTTAGCAAACTCTCTTTCTATGATGTCAGTATATCTGATCCTTTATATGCTGATCTAAAGTGGTTATACTACGCAACATGCTTGATGTTGCAGTATTCCTTCCCCTCTGTTTGAAATGTTACAGTTGTTTTTGGTAAGATCTGTAAAGGGGACTGAAACTGCCATCCCACAGGGCACACACTGGTTGACTCATTTCAATGAAATTATGTTGAACCAACATGGAATAGATGTTGAATTGACGTCTGTGCCCAGTGGGATATTGTACTTCCTGTATGTATTCTTCTTTGGCTGGTTATCACTTTTTGTATTTCTGTGGGCTGTAGATGTCCAACGTCCATAGCTTTACCTTATCTATAATTCCCCTTTTAAAGATTTAAGCATTTGCGTACTCCTCAGGGTCCGCTCCGTATTTTCTCTAAAACACTGGCTGGGATATGAATCTTGCACAGAATATACCCCAGTTTGAGGTTTGTTTGTTTGTCTACATTTTCCACTGTGAAACCTCAAAGTCAATCCCTGAGTTATGAATGAATTTAGGAACAAGCTGTCAAGTGTACTTATTTGATGTTCTGGCATCGTGACCAGCTTCTAAACAGCTCCTTCCTTCTGGTCAAGCTGCTAGGAAATACGTTTCTCCTTCCTGTAGTACCTACAGTACCCAACTAATTCATTAAGGGGTTGGTAGTTGTACGTTTATATGTCAAAAAGCATACCACTGTTTCTATTCATTTGTTATTCTGACCACTTATAGCTGCTGTTGATACAGGCATGTCATTTTGTATTATAAACTGGGTGGTTCAAGCCATGAATGCTGATTGGCTATGACAAAACGTTTATTTTTTTGTTGGTAACCAGTTTATAATAGCAATAAGGCACCTCGGGTGTTTGTGGTATATTGCCAATATACCACAGCTAAAGGCTGTATCCAGGCACTCCACGTTGCGTCCTGCTTAAGAACAGCCCTTAGCCGTGGTATATTGGTCATATACCACACTCCTTCGGGCCTTATTGCTTAAATATAGACCTACAGTGCATAACATGTGCTGTGTAGTGCTGTGGTATTGTGATATAAATAGGTGCAAACCTAGAAAGAGAAAATTCAACATGGTAAAGAGAAATATATTTATTTGATTCATGTTTAAACGATAGATTAGTATTTAAAAAGAAGAGCATATATGATAAAAAAAAGATTTGTTCAATCCATATTTTTTTGTCTTTTTGGTTTCTTTAAATATTACATAAAATAAATAATTTATTTTAAAGCAGTCAGGTAAAGGTATAGAGATATCCAGTACAGTGAACTTGCATGTTAATAATGTTTGTAAGGGTTGTTTATGCTATGGTGCTAGCATGACTAAATTCTCTGCATTTGACTCACTCCATGGCCCAGCTTCTCTTTCATCACATCTTAGTCACCCAAGTGCTTCCTGTACTGCATCTGTCTGTTTGTATATCTAGCCATTCACTGGGTCACAAAGCTTGAGTGTCAATTTCAGTTCCTCGTATCAGTTAGTACAGAATAAATAACTGCATCGACAGATCATCACAACAACAAATACACACGGTACACTCTGCCCTTTGACCCTGTCTTCAGTGACGCTGTTGGAATCAATGTCCCTTTTTTGTCCTCTTATTCAGTATTGAGATTTGTCTCCAACAGTTCATCCATTGAAAATAATTTGGCACAGAATTTTTTTTCATATTTTCTCCTGTGCCGACTCATAACTTAAAAACAAATATGTGACATCATCAGTCAGACTCCGCGATAATGAGTTCAAACGTTGACTCCATATGACTCCATTATGTCTTTGAAGGTTTCCAGTCTTTCCTCAGTGCAGTGAAACATTCACAGGGGAAGGAACTGTCCAATGAGGTGGCTACACCACTATGGGCAGGAAGTGGGTGGCAGTGTTTTTCCTTCGTGTTTTCTTGCCCCTCATGGGCTTGCCGTTGGCGCTCAGCCCCACGAACATGGCCTTCTTCTTGTTCCGCCACTCTGCTGAGGCATAGGTGTTGTACCTGTTCTCCTCAATCCGCTCGGTCAACCGACAGTCAACACCAAAGTCCCTCTGGAGAACAAACAATAAAAACAAATTGTAAGTGTGTGATTCAACAACTTTGGCAGCACGGGAAATGGAACTGGGGTCTACATTTGCATAATTTCTTCATTAAGCAGAAGTTCCCATCCAGATATCCAGGTTGTTTAGCTCCATTAAGGCAAGCTAAACAACAGTGTAAATGCAGACTTGCAGAGTCATAACAGCAGTAGGGTCCATCAAGCTTCTAACAGACTGCTCTTGTCATTTAGTGTTCTGACTAACTAGACACGAAAATGAATACAGTTGTGATCCAGTAAAGAATGTTCCTTTCCCAAATGCTCTTTAGCCACAGCTCTTCAAATTGGTTCCAGAAGTAAACTGAATGTTCCCAAAGCATATGAGAATATTTTTTCTGCCTAGTGTTTAACTCACGTCGGCTACCTCTTTCTCATGGAAACGTGTGTGAAAATAATCTCCCACAAAATGGTATATATGAAGTTAGAACAAGCTTATCATAATGTAATGCTTGTTTAATGAGGGACAGACAAGCCACCAATGCTTTACTGAATGAATGACAGTACCTTAGTGTGACATAGTAGAATATGTAATTGGAATTATTTTCCTAGCTAGAATGTTTTTTGTGTCTCATTTCATCTGATTTCACTACTGTGAGAGCCGTAGTAACAGCCTTTTACTGTTATGTTTTAGATTATGTTGTATGAGAGCGCATGAAACAGTGCCGGTAGCCCTTGAGGGCTTTTAGTAGAATGGAGAGGCTGTTGTATTGTGTTTCTCTGGTCTGAATAGAGCAGAGCACAAGCATGGTGTGGTATATGGGAGGATCTGTGTATTTGGGAGAGAGGGGCTGTAGGGGCGTCTCGGCTTACTTTCTTCTAGACGACAACTCTTTTGGCTGGGCCGACATGTGCTAGAGGATTATTTACGGGCAGTGGAGTGGAACTGTCCTTTAAAACAACCCTAGGCTTCTCTAAGGGCCCGAGGACAAGGGAGAGAAGAGCTCTCACACAACATCAAAGGAGCCCACTTCTTACGAGAGTATAGTATGGAGGAGAGTTGATTTTAACAGTAAGGTGGCGGTGTAAAAACACTAGCTGGCGTCTAACTAGTGAGTGTTCTGAACACTGAATCAGTCTAATGGGAAGTTTGTATTCTCAACCAAATAATTAGCTACATTTGTAGTTAGGGATATTGTTATTCTGTGTGTGAATTTCATGACAGGCTAAACTTACCGCGCCGTACAGCTCTCCTTTCTTGCTGATTGCCAGGTAAAAGTTACTGCTGAGCCCCTTGATGGCCACGATCCCAACATCCACTGACTTGATCTCCAGCACACCTGACAGACACACAGATACAATCTAAGTTAGTTATACCAGGCCAATACACTAATGTGATAGAAGTCATTGAGTCTTTGAAATGCTTGAAAAAGCTAGCAGTGTCTCTGTTTTGACCGCATACAGTTGTTAGGCTCCATTGTTTATTTGCTGTTGTAGTATGCAGGCAGGCCAGTTGAGTAAGTACAGTAGCTGTTAATGTATAGATGTAGGATCTTAATTTGATCACTCTTTTGTTGCAGAAAATGTTCCTGCACAGCAGGAAATGCAAACGTGTAGTGCATTTAAGTTTTTAAAAGGCTTCTAAAGTTTGTGATTTCCACTTTGAAATTTCAGACTTGATTTGCGCTAATGAAAAATGTATCAACCCCTACAAAAATGTCAATTAATTATAATCCACATAATAATTCACATTTCCTGTTGCTGCAGGATTGTTTTCCTGCTGTAGCAAGCTGGCATGAATGAAGATCCTACATCTGTAAGTGGATACAGTATGTTGTAGTCCATGATTTGTAAGTTACTGTAGTTCTTTCCAGTACGTTTACTGAACCTATTGAGTCATCTACACTACAGAATCCCACTAAGCCACACCAGGGGTCGAGTCACACTGTTATCCCTGCCCATGTTTTAAATAATCACTGTCATCTTTGCTTGAGTCCTGATTGGCTGCCTGGCTGTGTGTCTCTGTGCCAGTCATGGAAAACAGACAGGCTGAGCCTGAGCTGACATTTCATACCCATGCTAACGGTCCATAAATCCTGAGTGCGAGGTGTTGGCCAGGGCTAAGCCTCGGAAAAAACATGTATCCGCTTTTGTTTTGTTTTCGGAGCGGAGCGGCACGCTGGCGAAAGCTGAAATGTAAGTATCAGTTTGCAGTCTAAATGTTTTTTGAACCAATTACTGATTAAAGCCGTGGTAGTCAGTCTCCTTTTTCCCTCTCCTTCAGCATAAACCCATAAAGCTATCATGGGTTAGAGGGGATTAGCTCAGGACCAATTCTGGTGGAAGTGGGTCTTTGTATCAAGCAAGGAGGCAGGGCCTAGGTGGCTGGTCTGGCCCAGTATGGAGCCTCCTAGCCTGGGTCAGAGGAGAGGAGATATTGTCTCACAAGGTGGCTTTTGACAGGCTATAATCAGGTTGTTAATGGGACCAGTTGGTACTGATTCACCTCCACTCTCCCCCCCCCCCAGTGACATCTTTCATTTGGACCATCCCTCTTCTCACTCCTTGGACACACATTTCTAACATCCTGCTGTCCTGGGGGGATTTAATGGGCGGCCTGAGACATGGGGGGACCCAGTTTTAGGAGAGCTGTTGCAGGAACCTTTGATCAGGGGTAAGTTGCTCAGGCATTTACCCTTAAGTACTTGTTCAGCTGGGTGTACAGTATCTGTCCTGTCCATATCGTCCTCTTTGGACTATGTGTTCTGTCCCTGTACTGGGTTACATGTTATGGTTAACAGTTTTTAGGAAGAGTATCTCACTTGGGGACTCTAGTCTACCCCTGCCAGGGACTTTCCCATGTAAACCAACTTCACCTTTGACCCAATACAGTCTGCAGCTGTTGATTCTACTCAATGGTCATGACCTCTAGTCAGACTCCCCACCCCCTAATTTTCCTTCCACTTTCGAAGACAAAAATGTCCACAGGAGGAGTGTGAAAACATACAGATGTAGGATCTTAATTTGGTCACCCTGATGCAGGAGAGCTTTCCTGGAAATGTTAAACTTGTAGTGTATTTGAGGTTTAAAAACGCTTTTGAAGTTTGTAATATCCATGACATTTTATTGAGTCATTGAAATGCTTGAAAAAGCTAGCAGTGTCTCTGTTTTGACTGCATACAGTTGTTCCATTGTTTATTTGCTGTTGTAGCATGCAGGCAGGCCAGTTGATTAAGTAGCTGTTGCAGTTAATGTATAGATGTAGGATCTTAATTTGATCACTTTTTTGTTGCAGAAAATGTTCCTGCACAGCAGGAAATGCAAATTTGTAGTGTATTTAAGTTTTTAAAAGGCTTCTAAAGTTTGTGATTTCCACTTTGAAATTTCAGACTTGATTTTCCCTTATGGAAAATATATCAACCACTACAAAAATGTCCATGAATTATAATCCACATAATAATTCACATTTCCCATTGCTGCAGGATTATTTTCCTGCAATAGCAAACTGGCTCAAATTAAAATCCTGCATCTGTATAGACATATTTCTAAAGATGCTATTATAAAACACCATAAAACTATTAATACATATTTAATCGACGCTGAAATAAACAAATCCAAGTCCCTGTACTGAAAACAAAGTCCTAGTACATCGTCGATGCCTAAGCTAAACCATTTCGTATGAATTGGCAGTGGAGTGAACCGAATCTGTGAACCGGTAAAACAAGCAGTGGCCACCACTCAACAGACGGATTTGACAGGCTTCTCTATACACGGCGGGCGTGAGAGAGCCCCTTCTGTATGGGCTCTGGTTGCACACAGCTATTGAGTGTGGTGATAAGGCTATCCGGCCTCGTCTCTGCTCCTCTGCCTTCCCTCAGCTTTATGAACAGAGGAGGGGAAGGGGGGATGAAAGGAGGAGAAGAGAAATTGGATGACAGAGCGGAATAATCCCTGATCAAAGGGAGTGAGGGAGAGACAGAGGGAGAGACAAAAGGAGAGAGAGGCAATGCCAATTGATACAGGTGTATGGAGCCTACTTGGAATAATGACATTGTATGGAAATACAACACACTGCATAGACTTGCAGCTACTGTACACACTCACACTGACTCAAAGTCACAGTTAAAAACACAAACACACACCTTCACCATCTGCGCAAGAGTGACTGGTTCAAAACAACTTTTTAAATTCTAGCTGCCCTGTAATATAGATGGCACTGCAGTATTTTAGGTAAGCTTGCAATGTCAAAATAAAATCTACCTCTGCCGTGTTGAACGTCAGGCACCTGCTTTAGCCGTTTGCTTTGGGCCGTTTGATGTGGTGCATTAAAGCAAAACCCATGGCTTTTTTAGGACCCCTTGTCAGTCACCAGAACATTTCCTCTGTCTGCACTCAGGAGTTGAAAGGCAGGGCTGCAACAAAAGGCTTAAATTGCAAGAAAACAGAATAAACCAGAGACTGAGCCTTACTGTTCCTAGGCAGCACAGGGCCAGACCCATTTCTCTTCAGCCCCTTCATTCACAATGGTAAAACGAGTATCCTTACTCTACCTCTCTTTACGTCGTTCCTCTCTCTCTCTCTCTTGTCCCTCTCTTATCTCTAACTGCATCTATGTCTGTTTCTCTCTATCTTTCTCTTCACTCTGCCCCTGTTCCTGCCTCCTCACTCTGTTTTCTTTTTATGCTTGGGAGGTTGTTTTTTTCTCCCTGTTGTTGGCATGTCGACCAAAGCTGACATTTTTATTTTGTGACGGTGGACTTTTAAGTTTTATGACCAATATTGAAAGTGCAATAACCAGAGTTTTCTTAACCAACAAGAAAATAAGGTGCTGACATTTTGCAATCAACATTTTTCTGAAACTACTAAGACAGAAACCTGTGTACATAACAGGACTGTGTTAGTTTTATATGGCAGATTCAGTAAAACCAGGCCCAAGGTCCTGTAACAGTCGACTGCAGTCTTCATTGCTAATGAAGGGTTAGTTCCAGATATGGACAAGACTATATAACAGAGTCCAAAATCAGTTTTCCGCCTCATTTCACTGTATGAAACTGTATTTGTGCTACCTAGAGTTGTGGTCCAATGTTTGCTTGCCTCACTAAAGGAATTTACCACTGCACACAAGAAGAGGGACTGTGTTTATGGTGTATCGTGATACTGTATGAGCGCAGGTAAAACATTTCTGAAATATCTTGGTTTAGATAAGGTGAGTCGTCTGACTTCTATCTCTTTTCAACCTTAAGTGGTTGATGTGGTTTCACAGTATTTGAGTAATTTGTGTGTCTGGGGGTTCTCCTACAGTACTGTTGGCAGAGGCCAGGTCTGCTAATTACAGGGTTACTGAAGAGCAGACAGCTGGTGGCTCAGTTTAGTTCTGCTGACTGACTGTCCATTGGGTGGTCGAGTCAACTGCCTGGTGTGACTCCCATCGTCAGCAGCCTTGCCTTCTACCGTAGGCTCTGTAGGTGGCCTCTCTCCTCCCGTCCCGTCCCGTCCCTGCCCACAGACCCACTATCGCCACAGAGGGACGTGATTTCTTGGCAGGGTAACAGAACTCACATTATCGCATCTTGTCATAATTACATCAAAATGTGTAGCTTCATCCAGCCAACTTTACTGCTGAGCCTCCCGTATTTCTACCCCTAGATTCTACTACAACACATACAATGCATGCCCTATTCTGAGAGAAAACATACCTTTTCTCATCAACACCAGACATCAATTCGATACTACAGATCAAGCAGCTTAGATGCCACAAGACCACCAATGTCGTCACCCCAGAGTGTGTGCATAATTGTCCTGGGAACCCCAACTTGCTGCCCCTTTGACAGGCATGTCTTTCCGATTAACCTTCCAGATCCTGGGGTGTAGAGACAGCTCAGGCCCTATTAAAGAGGTTGGCACTGGGGCACGGTTTGGGGTTGGGGTTGGGTCTGAAACTTGTGGACGAAGCATATTATCAGGGGGGCTGGTTCACAACTCTACAGGGGTAGATAGGAGGGGCTAGGGCTGGGGCAGTGGTAGGAGGTGTAGTGGCAGGGCAGGGAGAGGAGGGGGCTGGGTGCTGGGGTAGTTGGCAGGGAGGGAGGCTGGGGCTGGGGCTGGGGTAGTGGCAGGGCATGGCAGGCTGGGGGTAGTTGGCGGGAAAGGGGGTGCTGGGGTAAAGTGCAGGGGAGCGGTCTGGGGTAGTGTAAGGGGAGTGGGCTGGGGTAGTGGAGGGGGAGGGGGGCTAGGGTAGTGGCAGGGAATGGGGGGCTGAGGGGGGGGGGCTGGGGTAAGTGGGCAGGCACGGGAACGGCATGAGGGGGGCTGGGGGTCAGGTTTTGACCCTTAGCTGGCTCCCTGACAGCAGTGTCTCACACCTTTGATCTGGCCTCCACAGGCCTCTGGCTCCCAGGCTACTGAGAGATCAGTGTAGTGGGGTCTGGGCTCTACACCCCTCACCTCCTCTACACCCCTCACCTCCTCTACACCCCTCACCTCTACACCCCTCACCTCCTCTATAGCCCTCACCTCCTCTACACCCCTCACCTCCTCTAGACGACACCCCTCACCCCGCGACACCCCCCCGCACGCCGCGACAACCCGCCACCGCCCACCCGCACGCCGCGAAAACCCCCCACCGCGCCCCCCACACCGCGCGACACCCCCCACCGCGACACCCCGCACCCCGACACCCCCACCGCCACCCCCCGCCCCGCGCACCCCGCCACCGCCACCCCGCACCGCGACACCCCGCCACGCGACACCCCGCACCGCCCGACACCACCGCCCCCTCACCCGCCGCCGCACCCCCCACCGCCAGCAGGACACCCGACACCCACCCCACACCGCCGCTACCCGCACCCACGACACCCCACCGCCGCGAACCCCCACGAGACACCCCGCACCCCGACCCCCCACCACCGCCACACCCCGCACCCTCGCGACACCCGCCACCCGCGACCCCCCGCGACACCCCGCCACCGCCGCGACACCCGCCGCCGCGACCCCCCCACCCGCCACCCCGCACCCCGCGACACCCCACCGCACCCGCCGCCGAACAACCCCAGCGCCCCCACCCGCACCCGCGACACCCCCACATCCGCACAACACACCCCACCGCCGCCGACACCCCGCCTCACACCCCCACCTGCCGCACACCCCCACCCCCACCCCCCACCGCACCGCCGCACACCCCGCACCCCGCCACCCCGCACCGCCGCGACACCCCGCACACCCGCGCTACCCCGCCACCGCCCGACAACCTCCCGCGACACCCCACCGCCCGCACCCCGTCACCGCCGACACCCCACCGCCCCCGCGACACCCCGCCGCGACACCCGCACCCGCACCGCCGAAACCCCGCACCGCCGCCACAACCCCCACCCCCACACCCCCCGCACCACCCGCACCGCCGCACACCCGGCCACCCCGCCACCCCGCACCCCGCGCACCCCGCACACCCGACACCCCGCCACCTCCCGACACCCCCGTCCGCACACCCCTGCACCCCGCCACCCCCGCACCCTCACAACCCCGCACCGCCCCCACTACCACCCCTCACACCTCTACACCCCACCTCCACAAACCCCTCACCTCCTCTACACCCTCACCTCCTCTACACCCCTCTCACCTCTACACCCTTCAACCTCCTCTAACACCCCTCACTCCTCTCACTCACACACCCACCTCCTCTAAACCCCTCACCCCCCTCACCTCCTCTACACCCCTCACCTCCCTACACCTTCACCTCTCTAACCCCCCTCTACAACCCCTCACCTCCTCTAAACCCCTCACTCCTCTAACCCACACCCTACCTCTACCCCGCACACCCTCACCTCCCTACCCCTCACCCCTCTCCTCACTCCTTACACCATTACCCCTCACCCACCACTCCACCCTGCCTCCTAATTAGTGGTGACTCCAGATGAACTTAAACACGCACAATTTATTTTACTTTTCCTGTTGAAAAACAATATCCCACGTATAAATACAGTAACGTACACACACTTAATGGTAAAAAAAAAATGTGTTTTGTACAAAATAGTGTTTTTTTGTGCAAACTTCAAGGAGTTGGCCTGATGGTGCCCTCTGATGTCATTGGCCTCCACCTTTGTTGAGGAACAATAGAGGAGCAATAGAACAAAAAAGGAAAGACCCCTCCCCCACTTGCGCCATGTTATGACTTACCTTGACCACCTATTGAGATGTGCCTGTTGTTAACTAACTCAGGTGATAAATTAGCTGAAAAGGAGACTGGAGTAGGACTTTAAGGTTAAGGAGGGCTGTGAAAGTGTTTCCGCAGTTTATCTTCTAGGCCCTTCTGAAGATTATGTTGCTGCTCTGCTCCCATTGCATGGCCTACAACTGGGTGTGAGAAAGTAAGGTACTTGTCTGCGTTTCAGTTGTAAAACCGTTATTACCACTTGAAGCACAACTTTCAAATAAAATTATGAAGATCTATTTCAACATGGAGGATGTTGGGATTTTAGAGAAAAATACTGACAATTCAAAAAACGTTTATATTAAAACAATGAATTCAAATGAGAGTCACTTCTAAGAGAGTTAGGTTTCAGTACAAAAACACTCCAGGTTTTGTTTTCACTTTTCAACAATCCCAAGTTTGATTTGCATTACTTGAGGATAGAGTGACTAACATCTAAGATGAGAGATCTCCCTCTGACAACTGGTGACATCCTGATTGACGATTTGTCCAATTCACCATGACACAGGGGTTCATATCCATGGAACAGCTTCAGTGTTAGTGGCAGAGGAAACACTAGATCCACTGGGAAACAAAAACGCCATTTTGGTGTTGAGGGAATTTTATACTTGGTAAGTAATGAAGTATTGGGGTTGATAAAGCCGGAAAATATCCCACTCTAACCAGACAAGCACAAGACGTTCAAAGGCTTGTGCCAAAGAAAACTTTCTGATGTTTTCACCATTCACTGTCATTGTAATTTATGACTGCTGACTACTCAATACATTTTTATTTATTAGTTACTTGTCACAGATATTTTCCACCACGATGGGGGTTATATAAGTTGGTAGTAACTCATTGGTGACTGGCTAAATCTGTATGATGGTACTTTCAACTGATTCATGGCGGTAGCATGGTGGTAGCGTGACAGTGTGTGATGGATCTGGTGTAAATGTATTGGTGCTAAATAGCGTGAGATGAGCAACAACCAATGAAAACTTCACATGTTCACTGTCTGCATCCTCACCTAGCGAAAGTTAAGTTAGCTTAGTAACATTAGAGATGCCTTTCAAATCAAGTTTTTATTTTCACAAGGCTGTCAACTTGTGTTTTAGATCCATCTCCACACAGAAGTTATACATCTAATACTTCTCTAATACTATCCGTCCTGATGTCAATATTGTGTTCTTTGCCTGAAACGTGCATTCACAGAAGTCTTACACAGGGGAGTAACATTGAAACCACACTGTCAAGCTGTGTGTGATTTTAAACCTGGCACCAACGCATGATTAAAAGCAAATCCAGATATTCAGATTAAATGCATGTTGATGTT